ATAAAATTGCCCATCCCTATTGCAGGGTTGCCTCTAGCAATACAGAAGGAGTTATTGGGTTTGGTTATTAATAAGGAGATTTGCTTAAAGGATATGAAAACCCGAGCTGATAATTTTAGGCAGTATGAGATGATGAAGAAGGCATTTGTACGATGCACAAATTCTAGAAATTGGGATGAAGCGACGAGTTTGTATCCCAATTTTATTGACAGGCTTGGTCAGTTTTCAAGACTGACTTTTAGCAAACCCCAGCTACCAGATACATTTCTGACATTTTGTCAAGCTGCAATAGACTCAAGACGAGGTACATTTATTGTAATATCAATTGCAATAATTATATTTAAATTTGTCATACTAGGTGAACCGTGTGGAGAAGCTGTCAAAAAGTTTGGAGATTATACTATCACATTAGTTGAAGGCAGCTTACAAGCATGTTCATCAGAAGCAATCAAGAAAGCAAACACCTCTTACAATGGAGCTCATCTCATTTTAAGCAATATTAGGAAAGTAAGTAGCTACCGTATACTGTACAGCTGGAAATATTTGTGGGGAATTAAAATTTGTGAGTTTGTGGATGAATCCAAAATGCAAAATTTGTTGAAATTAATATTTTTAGCTTGCAAATTTTTTAATAAGATACATGTATAGTGGAATTCATTTTAGTGTATTTGAGTATTCACAAAAATAAATTCCACACAAAATAAACCACATAATTATAAGCTTTAGCATTGCATGTAATTATATGATTAAATTTTTTGTAGGACTGCACTTCTGAATCTCTTGAAAAGATAGTATATAACAGTCGTGAGCTTAATACTTCATTTACTGGAATAAATTTCTTCTCTTTCATTGTCATGGTTGAAATGGCTGATGTTGACAGGGTCCAAGAGGCACTCTCAGTTTGTTACAATAAGATTGAAGTTGTTTACATTTATAATGAACTAGCTTCAAAACCAAGTAGGTCAACTCATACATTATTATTGGTGTGATTGCACTTTGATGACAGAAGACACCTGTGGGATTTTGATACCAGCTGTAAAACCAATAGTTGTAGCTGTATGGTCACAAATTGAAGACATGCAGCTTCCATTTGAAGAAAGTCTAAATGTCATTGCATACAGTGACAAAGATAACAAGGGCAAAATGTCACCTTTCTTAAAAGAAAAACTAGTGAAAAGGTTTTCTTTTGACGGACAAACAATAGTAGATGCTACTGATACAGGTACATGTACATGATATTGATTAACACTAATGTCCGTCAAGTAATAATAATAATAATAGTAATAACTATACACAAAATGTAGTAATAATTTTGTTCACTAGTCTGTTGTTAAGTAAATGCTGCTACTAGTTGTTTATTATTGTAAATGGTAACCACGGCCCTAACAGTCCTCACTATCACAGGTGCCATAAATACCTCCACTTTATAGTATAACCTATGTGTATACAAATAATAATTATACTGACAAATAACTAACTTCAATATATTCCCTTGAAATTGTACAAATTTGTACACTTAGTTTTAATGCTTGTAATTTTGAAGTACAAATTTGAACAAATTTGTGATTTGGTAAAAAAATGTTATACCTTTCCCATTCTCTTGTTAGGGCCAGGTGATATTCTTAGTTTCAAGAGAAATTTTGTCATCCTGTATGAAGAACCATTAATTGGACAAGAGATTGAAACAGTTTTAAATAAATAGTTTGACTGGCATTAACTTATATCAAGTGTATAAGATTATAATAATAATTAGTATAATAAAAGCACAGTTTACTTTAAAAAATAAAAGTTAACTTTATAAAATAATGTGTTAAAACAAATATGTCCTTATATTCGTGAGCTAGTCATGAAGGCTGTCAGTGACAGTGCTAAAGCTATCAATATTGAACACAATCATGTTACTGCATTCTCTTGTCCTAAGAGAAGTACTTGTTACTGTGTTGTAGATGCGGAAGAGGAAGTTTTTGAAACTAACTGTACATCCTGTGCTGATTCTGCTGATATAAGTGGTGATAGCTACTGGTGCTGGTTTAGTATAGTAGACTGTGGCCTTAGAGTAGTGCCCTCAGGTAAACATCAAAATTATTAACATTAGCAAGCATGCACTTGCATATACTGCATGTTGATAATCTGTCAAATTAATTTCATTACAGACTCACAAAAAGCACTCGATACATCTGATTTGGCTGAAATCCTTGCAGACTTGAAGGAAGGTCATTATCCTAGTAGCGACTGGAAGAATTTGGGACTTCAACTGGGATTACATTACACTACACTCAGGGCTATTAAATCCGATTCGTCTGAAGTTGAAGATCGCCTTATGGAGTGTATAGTTAAATGGTTGCAGAGAGCTGATGATGTAGATGCTAAAGGAGGAGCAACCTGGACCACACTGGTTAATGCTCTTGAAAAATGTGTTAAGTCAACTGCTGATCACATCAGTGAGTGAAATACCACGTACATGTAGTGGGCATAGTATTACATGTATGCATCTCCACATTGTGTTTATGTATCTTTAACTATATCAATTACTTGTAGTATGGTGCGTGGGCGAATCAAAGGCGCCGCCAGTGCTACAACTTCCAATAACCGCATGGTAGGAAAATGTAGCACTGTGTGGAATACATAGTACTGCACAGTATAATATGTATGGGCTTTCCTGTTAACCACAAGCTTTGATAGAGGCAAATAACAGCCTCAGCTACATACACTAGACATGTAACAATAATAATAGTGATAAATGAGATCTGATCATCATCTTGCCTGGAGACCTGTGCGACTTTTGAAATTTCATTTGATTCTCCCACGCACCACTACAAATCAATCAAAGCACTGTTGATTCGTAGATTACGGAAATTATTGCACTCGGGACGGTCTTGACGAAAATGTAGCACTCGGCTTCGCCTCATGCTACATTTTCCTCTCGACCGCCCCTCGTGCAATAATTTCCGTAACCTACTCTCAACAGTGCTTTAACTAATACTTATTGTTGTTTAGGATGTAAGAGATTTAAAAGACCTGCTGATCAATCCCAGACTGATGATGATGAACTGTGTCCGCCAACAACTAAAAAGAATAAACATAAACCATAAACTATATCTTGCTAGAAAGATATGATGCATGCACCTTTTTTTATCATTTTTGATTTCTGGTTTATGATATTTGAAGTTTAATTATCTGGTTACTATAATGTGCATTCACATTAATTTTTAATTTTTTATTGGTCTTAAATAAAAAAAATTTTAAATGGTTGGGGTGTGGTTTGAGTATGAGTAGGCGTGGTTTATAATAAAATGGCTGCCAGTGGAATAACTTGTAAAGTTCTCTCAGACAGTAAAGGGAGCCTGTCAGTAGAGTTTGATAACGTTACTGTATTGAGTAAGGTCAGTGGTATACATACCGTATATATTGTTATTAATAG